AAAAAAAAAGGTAAGGCATAAGCTTAATAAGGGTCATGCTTATTTTCTATAAAAGAAAAGTAAAATTTACAGGGGTTAGATCCCTAGCATTTGGTCATCACCTAGCTTATACTAGACAGCTAAAGACACTCCATACAAATCTTTTTCACATGCACAGAATCACCGCAATCTTAAATCATTTCTTTCACCAGTTAGAATGCTCCAAATTATTATATATAAGGTTAAAGGATATTGTGAATCATGGGTTAAAGGATTAAGAACCTAAATCATCTATTCAGCCTATGCATATGAACTTTCATGTTCATGTACAACGTTATATTTAATTATCATGCATAATCATTGTCACATTTCTATGGATAAGTAGGAAATTAAACGCAAGCACATGATCCATCCACAAATTAATACACTCTCAAATTTATTCATCTTAGACGACAAGGCTTTCTGACTCACACAATCATACAATTATTATTATATAATTTTTTTTCATATGAAATAAAATCATATCACACAAACATACAAATACTAAACAACTGATGATTTACCTCCAAGTTTAAAATACACATTGTCCCCAGTGTGAAAATAAATACGAAATAGGGTTAGGACTTCCTTGAATACATCAGTTTGAGTCATTTCCATTTTCCTAATGAGATGGATATGGGTTGGCTTTCTAACCACGTTGTTGCCCACAAACTTGAGAATCTACAACCAACACAACGAGAATGTTACAGCAATAACATAAATAGTCCTAAAACTAAAAATTAAGTAATAAGAAAAGAATAGAGCTTGGGTTGCCTCTCAATAAGGTAGCACTTGAATGTGGTATTGAACTTAGGTATTCCTGTCCCCACACCTCTGCTCAAAATGGAAGAGCTGAACGCAAACATGGATACATCACAGAGAGTGGTTTATGCCTCTTAGCTCAGGCTCAAATGCCCTTTTTTTACTGGTGGGAAGCTTTTAAGGCTGCCACTTACTTGATCAATAGGTTGCCTACATCTGTTTTGCATCATAGCTCACATTTTCAGACTTTATTCAAATCAAATAATAGAGCTTGGGTTGCCTCTCAAGAGCGCTTATTTAAAGTCATGGAATCTTTATGGGCTTTTCGCGGGCCTAAACATCATAACCCTAAAACAAGCGACGCGTAGACGCCGCGATGCTTTTCTGTGTAGAGTCTAGGTGGGGCTGCATCTCTGTTTCTGCTAGTTCTTCATAGCACCTGGGTGCTAACTTGCTGTAAAAAAATTTCATTTCTAGCACTTGGGCGCCATTTTGCTTATTCTTTTCCTTTACATTTTGGCTCGTTTGTTCACTTAACACCATTTTTCACCACCTCACCAACCTATAAAACAACACTAACAAATACATCAAAAATGTTCTACATTCGTAATGTTTAGCCAACAATTAAGTTAAAATTGTATAAAACTCGTGAGTAAAAACACACTCTTCAGGTACCAAATCTTTACCATTCATTTCTAGCAATTTTTAAGTACATTTCTCATTTTCATCACATTTTCTTGAGGCTTTGAATTTCGCGAAACCATAGAGTTACATGGATGCATCAGCAAGAGTATTATCATGCAACTGCTTAAAACGAAAGGAAGTGTATCAGAAAGGGAAATCTTGATTTTTCTTTGGTGAATATTGGCCTTCAATTACTGGCTTGTTCATCATTTTAATTGGGTGTTATCCTAGCTGAATTTTTCTACTACCCCTTCTATTTTATTTTATTTTTTGTTTTTTTTACTTTTTGTATCTTTTTGACCTTGTAAGACCTTTTCTTAACCTTGTAAGGCACCAAGGCACCGTGTTGTGACTTTCGTTTTATATTTTTTCATTTTTCAAATTTTACAACAAAAAATTCTTATGAGGGATTTGTTTGTTCTCCTTTCCTCCTTTCCTGTCTCATAAGCTAATCTACATTAAAAAAGTTCATAAGATAATGTATGTATAGACAACATTAATTTCATAAATTAATGTAGTACAAGTTCGGACTGGGGTTTTTGTGTGTGTGTGTGTGTGCATTTTGTAATTCAAAATTGAAACTTAACAACAAAACAACAAAGTAAAAACTTACTTGTAAAAGAACAAAAGTTGGAGAAACTTTATGAACGAAATGAAAAATGCAAAACCCGAGGCAAGTGTTCAACACTTTGTCTTTTAATACAAATTTGCCTCGCAATGGTGCTAATGGGGTCTTGACAATCGTCTCCTAAGATACAATGAATTATCCTTGCAGTAAAAGCACTTTAAACTTCAAGGCAACGACGAACTCAAAAGAAAATTTCAACAATGATTTTCAAGTGTTTTCATGCAAAGTAATCAAAGAGAATGATATGAAATGAATTTGAGCACCAAGGGTGTCCAATTTATAGAAGATGAGAGGTTGTGACCGAAGAGACATACCCCAAAACTCAGCATTTTTCATAAGGGGAAGCAACCCTTAAGGCCATTCCTTGGCCTCTTGTTGGCCGCTCAAGCATCCATAATAGCGAGGTTGTCGCTAACCGTGCACTAGATTGTCACTCGAGTGACAGTCTTATATGCTGAATTCTAATTTTTTATATTTTTAGACCACAATTTCTCATTTATCCAGAATTGGTTTTGAGACTTCAAATATACTACGATCATATACTCAACAAATAGAACAAGTTACTCCATTCACTTGCATGATTTGACTATCAGAACTCATCTTAATATTTGGTCGAAACTGATACAACAATCTCCAACATGAATGTAAATTATCAGATATGCAAATGATAATGCAGACACTAGTAGAGAGATAAGCGAAAAAATATCATATCAGGAAATATGGCTTCTGGTTTTGAACATGCCTTAGTGAAATGCTATCGAATTTATTTGGCTAATTAGTGAACATGATGTCTTGAATTATTCAATCGTTGTTGTAAACCAAGACAACAGTATTCACACATCTTCCCAAAATCGTTTCGATTCTCATGATTGTGTTCATTTTGGCCCTGAACTACTCTTGAGTTTCATAAGTGTTTTAGAAAATTTCAACCTAAAAAATTCTTATAAAAGTAGCTCCACTTCACACTTACATATGCGACCTCCTATTGAGAGTATTTTACCACATTCCACTCGACTTAATCAAGTTATAAGAATCATTAAAAACGTATATTAACCTTTATCATTCTGTAGTAAGCACTTTGATTATCATATGAATGAGTATAAATTATTTTTTAAGTGCTTTATGAAATCTTCGTAATTTAATTGTCCAATTGAACCAAAATCTTGGGATCTCCAATCAACAAGATTGTGTTACCATTACAAAAACTCGCGTAGTAAGCTTTAATCTCAATAATTTTGATAAGCAATATATTTGATATCTTGGTAAGCCTTTCATAAGTGAATCCACGATGTTTTCCTTTAATTTTACATAATCAATGAAAATGATATCATTTGAGATCAATTGCTCAATTGTATTGTGTCTACAGCGTATATATCTATACTTACCATTATTCATACTATAATATAAGTTTGTTTTGTGGACTTCCAAACAAGGCAGCACCACCAACGGTAAAAATATAACCATTTGTAAAGTTGAAATCTTTTGTATCGAATATCCAATTCGCATCACTATATCCTTCCAATGCTGAGAGATATTTTGTAAAGTGTTATCCAAAGTTTAATGTGTATCTTAGATATCTAAGAATCGTATTCAGTTTCTTCCGATAGTCATTGCTTGGATTACTCATGAATCTACTAAATTTGTTCACAACATATGCTATATCCAGTCGAGTACAGCTCGTAATGTACATTAGACTACCTATAAATTGTTTATATTTTAGTTGTGGCACATGGTCACTCTTATTTTTGACTAAGTATAGACTTAAATCAATAATGGTTTTCACTGAACTTTTCTCATATACATTAATTCTTTTAAGTACACTCTCAACATAATGAGATCGGAAGTGCAATTCCATCGGATATCCTGGAGATCTTAATCATTAATATGACATCTGCAACACCTATATCTTCATGTCAAAATGTTTCGTTAATATTTTCTTAGAGTTCATGATGATTGATAAGTGTATTTTGTACACCTATTTAGACCATTAAATTAGAGTATTTGTTAGTGATTTGGGTGAGTTATAACTTAATTTTGTATTAATTATATTTGTTAGATTGAACTCAATACAAATTGGTGGATTTGGAAGGAAATAATCAAAAACGTGCGAAAACGAAGGAAATTCAAAGTTTGGATACCAAAGTGTAAACATTCAATAGTTGATTCGAACCACAAAACGATAATTGAAGATCATATAGGATCAATTGGATGAAACTGGAGGTCAAATGAGTGAAATATAGTAGAAGTATTTTCAAGAATCAATTTACAGTCGAAGAAGTTATACTCCGGATTTTTAGCCTCAACTTGAGACCTATTATTCGGATAGAAAACGTTCGAATTGGAAAAATTTTATATCTAAAATAATTGTATTCCTTTGAATTAGCATTCTTAACTCATTTTGAATAGTCTCAATAGGATATCTGTAGAGAAAATTATGGCCAAAATACTAAGAGCTACTCAGTGACGAACAGAAGCGACATGGGCGAGGGAGGCAATTCATAGCACACATGCAATAGTTATACTGGTGCGTGCGCGGGCTTTTTTCACAAATGAATCTTTAATTTC